TAAGACCAACACGATGCAAGGAGACAACTGACTCCTGACCGCCACACACACTACCTTTGACACAAGTGTATTCACACAAATGCACACAAAGCAAATGAGTAAAAACACTATCAAATGCTTACAGTAGACTTTAATGTTTAACGTGTATGAATGTTTTCCCTTCATGTATGCCTGTTTACCACTTGCATGTCTGGTGCTTAAAAAGCCCAGAACTCCTGGAACTGGAGTTAAAAGATGGTTGTGAGCCACCACGTGAGTGCTGGGAATCAGAACCAGATCCTCTGGGAAAGCAGCAGCCAGTGCTCTTAACTGCTAAGCTATCTCTCCAGCCCCTGAGACATTCATTTTTATATAAAAATCTGTTCTGTTGGATTTTGTATTTTGAGAAAGGGTGTCATAGTCCAGGCTAGCCTTGGACTCACTGAGTAGCTGTTACGGAGTTCAAGACCTCCTAGGAAAAAAGACCACGGACTCAATCTAGATTATAATTAGTTAAATTTCTTGTAGCTGGTAGCAGGACAGCTATCTCTGAGCCAGATTAGAGACTGTCACTCAAAGGAGGTGAGTGAAGGAAGGATTTTTAAAGACAAAAACCACAAGGAGACTTTGAGGATCTGCACAAGTAAGCCACGAGCTGTTTTGCTCTGCCAAGACTAGGTAGTCAAGGCACATGAAAATAAGTCTTTGAATGGCCGCATAAGCAGGTTTACAGAAGTCAAAAGCAGTCATATCATAAAGAAGCAGATAGTCTTGGCTGTACGTTTCTGGACTGACTGAGTCAGAGTTACTAGGAACTTATCTTCCAGGGACTGGAACCAGAGACAAATGGCTAGTGGGTACCAAGATGGATGCCTAGCACAAATGGAGTATTATTTGCTTTGTTTTTGGTCAGGTTTGTTTTTTTGAGACAGAGCTTCTCATGTTGTGGTGGTCCCCAAACATAAACTTTTTTGTTGCTACCTCATAACTAATTTTTCAATGTTATGAGCCATAATATAATTATCCGTGTTTTCCAATGGTTTTAGGGGACCCCTGTGAAAGGATCAGTCAACTTCCACAGACCACTCCTCTCTCCAGTATGAGGAACTGTATGGATTAGAGGGTCCCAGCATTAGGAAGGCTGAGAACCGCTGGCTCAGAGGTTAAGAGCACTAGCTGTTTTCTGTAGAAATAGTGGATCAGCTTGGGAGTGTGGTTGTGTGGCTAGTATGTGCAAGGCTCTAGGTTCTGTCTCTAACACACACACACACAGAGCGAGAGAGACAGA